GCGCACGCCATTCTATTGTGGGTTACTCTTAATCGGTATAAGTTACTTTTCTCGTGACGACGACGATGTCGGACCGCCAACTTAATTAAACTCGGCGTGCAAATCATAATATAACGATTAACTCTAAATCGTTATAAGTTACTTTTTTTGTGACGACGACGAAGTCGGACTGCCAACATAATTTATCTCAACGCGCACGCCGTTCTATTGTGGGTTACTATTAATCGTTATAAGTTAATAGAACAACTTGATAAGTAAACACTTATATCGGACCAACTACGGATCTTTTTATTCAAAGTGTCCTATGTTAACCATCCGTTTGTCACGCGTTACCCAAAAACTATTTATTTTTCTACGATCATTCAAATTGATACTTATTAAACTCAGTGTCGTAGTCAGCCTTCCCGAGGGGTATTGGGTGTATCGTAGTAATCTAAATAGTTTATTTCTTTATTTTTCTTGAGATTATATACTGCAGTCTTCAGTATGTATTTTTATATCTCAATTATTTCCAATTTTTTTTTTTTTTTTTTGATAGCTTAAAATTAGTATTTTAAACAAATTGCCTGTGGGTGCCAATCCCTTCTTTCCATTTTTTTTTTCATAATTTGGTTCTGTTTGATTTTTGTGTTGACAAATTTTAAACTTTTATAACCTTGTCCTCAAATATATAGTTCTATCATGATTTTATTATTTAGTTAGTAGAGGTTTTGTCCTTGGTAACCAAACCTTTGTTTAAAATACTAATTTTAAGCTCATGTCGTACGTGTAGGATCTTGCGGAAACGTTTGTCGATGACATTCGATTATTCCTATTTCCTACAGATATAACAATACTTTTATTTGTGATGTAACATATTATTATAGTCAATGGCGAACTCAGAGGGGGGGGAGTGGTTAAAGTAGCGAGACATATGGATATTGTCTTATAATGATAAATCGACAAATATAATAATAATTAATTAATATACAGTGAAGTCTTTATAACGAAACTCGTTACAACGAAAAACTGTATATTACGTAAATAACATTAATTTAACTTATAATGGTTGGTTTGATTTAAAACGACCTAACCTATATAAAAAACGCAGTATTGTAAAATAAATACATTYATCGCACCTCTCAAGAATCTAAAAACATAATACTTGTTTTTTTTTATTAGAATTAGAATTAGAGCTTTGATAACGTGACCATTGGCTTAAATCTTTAATTGCTTCAACTAAATGTTATAATTTAATACAGTGGCGTATATAAGGGGGGGGCCTAGTGGGCTGCAGCCCCTCCCGAAATTACAGTCTTAACTGTTAACTATATTGTAGTCTCTAGGTGCTAGATAATTATTGTTAGTCGCTATATATATTATAGCCCACCCCAAAAATTATTTCTATATACGCTACTGATTTAATATATTATACATCATAAATAATATCTTTTTTTTATAATGGAATCTTAGTTGGGGCCCAGTGCATCATGAATGTGTTTGGGTATGTCCAATTTTTGTCGGCCCTCTTGTGTGTCTGCATTCTGTGATTAAATGATATTTTAATTGAAGTTAGATATCCACATGTTTTTGGTTTTTCATTATTCGAGAAGTGTGAAGTGTATGTGGCCTATTCTGAGGCGATTTAGTRCCACTTTGTCTCTTCATCTGAGAAACATTAGGTTATTCCGCTTATCTTTGTTATTTTAATTCCATTTCATTTGCTATTCGTCTATGATTAAGCTAATTTTTTTTTTAATATTTGTTCTGAGTTTATATCCCAGATATTTTGTTGATGTGGATTATTTGCTTTATCCTGGGCGAGTAAATTTTTATTCTTTYATTACCAGTCAATCTGCAGTGTCAGGGTATAAATGAGACAATTATTGTGGAATTTAATTGTTAAGTTGATTATTTTACTAGCAATAACATCAATTTATATAAATAAAAGGCTAAATATAGTACTAATGGAGTATGTTGAAAATTATTTACTTTTTACTACCTATKTAGGTTGGCACTTATTACATTGGATACGGCTTTATATACGGCGAGTACCTTAGCTGTGTAGTTAGTGTGTAATACTTCGATTAATTATAAACATTTTACCATTAAAATAAAATAAATTACAATAATATTTGTATTTATTATCTGTTATTGTCGAGTACAATTTATTTATATATAATGGAATGATACAATTATTTAGGTAAACAAGATGTACTATACCAATACCATAAAAATAGTTACTGGAAAACATAAAAAATTATAAATAATACATAATACATACAAATAATAATACAATATGTAAAATTCAAATTAAAAAAATTCCACTTTTAATCTATGTTTCAATTAGTACAATAATGGTAACATAAAAAATTAAGAACATTTTTAATATAAGATCAATTATGAATATTTCAAAAATTAAAATGTCAGTCCATTTATAGTAAATTGAAAGCCTTTATCAGACTTAATAATATAACATTCAATAAATAATTGCATTTATATAAATTATTTAACTAAACAACAATTCTTTTGACTAGTGTTGKCAAATAACAAAAATAGGAGTTTAAAAACATTTCAAATGTATTGCAACTTTTCAAAATACAAATTTCACAAGTTGTAATACAATGGTGTAATACAATATCAAATGGTGTATTTACAATATTTTTTTTGATAGGTAAAGTCGAGGTAAAGAAATATTACTTATAATGAAATGGATCATGTTGACTGAAATTATTATCAACAATTTAAAAATACTTATGTATAAGGTGTTTTTGATTCTTTAGGATTGATGTAATCCTCTCTACCCTGTAAATGCACCATTGATCAAAGTTCAAACATAAATTATATTTTAATAGATAAAATATTTGGCAACAATAGTTTAAAGARCTAATAACAATAACAATCAATAATAACAAACAATGTCAAAAAAACTAATTTCAAAACAGTCAAATAAATGTAAAATGTTTGCTATCAATCAGTTGTTTTATCAGCAATCTGTATAGATTTATTCTTTTCATACTTTTTATAGGCTAAAAATGTGGTCCATATCAATCCAGCAAAACTGACAAATATCAAACGATTCTGTGCAGGAATAACACAATAATTTATTGTTTGTAATACTGGCCAAACCATTGCRGCTATCTAAATGAGAAAAAAAAATGTTAGTTAACTTCTATTATTTAGCATATAAAATAATTACCTATCTTGAAATGAAACTATTATAATACTAATTAATGATTTATAACATTAATTTATTAAACACTAAATAGTAATATTAATAATTAATACTGTGTAGGTATGCTGTTTACACAAACTGTTATTACAACAATTTATATTATATCCAATATGTTTCTTATTAAAAAATTTGAACAGTTCAATTCAAATCAAACACAAAAACTAGTTGAATAATTCATAAAGGAAAAAACAGTAAAAACAAAAATATTGGATGAAATATAAATGTTTAGACTATTTTCAAGAATTTATAATAGGATATCAAACTTGCATGTGTTTTTTCTGTCTAACAAAYATATCAAGCATAACAGATTTGTAATAACTAGAATCAATTCTGTGCTGTTAGATTAATATTTGATAAAATAATCAATTTAAAGGTAAGAATAATATTTATAGTACTTAAAGGCTTTTATTAAAGTTTTAATTTTAAAGTATTATAGTTATATATATATTATATTATATACATTTCATAAATTGAAATAACAATAAAAGATTACGAGATGCCATAGATATTATTCTTGCTTTTAAAATTAATAAGAAAAAATTTAACTCCAATATTAAAGCTAACAACAGACAATATTGGTTCTCCTAAACGCAAATTTGCTATTTTGTGTACCTATTGTATGTTTGTTAAGTAGAAATAAAATATGAGTTTTGTGTCCTCTTAATATTTATTTGAATTCATTATAAAAAATATATAATATACCTTCCAGGTAGAAACAAATTTTTCTTTAACTTCTATTTTTGCATCTTCTATTGTACCTCCGTCCAAAAGTGTCATAAAGAAAAAAAAACTAGCCATTGCAAATGGACCATATGAAAATTGTTCAACAACTGCCTGTAAAATTAAAAAAACAATTAAATCATAATGAAACAAACAAACTAATAGCATTATAAAAAGAGTTGAACTTATTGTTACCTTCACTACAAATTAAAATTATTCCCAATTCAAAATAATTTATAATTAATTAAGCTCAGTAATCTACATAATTCAGTTATTAATTTGTAAAGAGAATAAAGGTAAATTAAGTAGCAAATWTTCTAAAATTAAACAAAGTAATAACTTAATCAAGTTAAGATTTATTATTGGTAGCATTAATCAAATGGTTTTTTATTCAATTTAATAGCTTTTAGCAACAATAATTGACAACTAATCAATAAACTAGTTTTTGACACCTAACAAAATATAGAATATGTATTATAATTTATCTGCAACTGCAATAACAATGTGTAATGTGTATGCTGACTAAACGTATAAAAMAATAAAAGTAGGTATGATATGTATAATATACATATTATAATAAAGTATAAAGCTAACTTTTAATTTTTTTGTTAGAAATTAAAATATTATACCTCACAAATACCAAAAATAGAGATAATAATTCTATGGAATTTAATCTTATTTATTGTTTGTACTTCTTTTGATGATAAAAACCACTGGTCACCTATTATATTGACTGTTATATTGAAGTAATCCTATCTTGGTGGTTCATTATGTATAAAAAAAAGTTTTATAAGGCTTCTCTTGAACACATTTTTTTAAAGTATTAATTACCAAATTATTATATCATAATATGATGTAATTAATAAGATTATAAAAAAATATATATCTTACATAAGTGTATTATTCTAGAGTTGTGGTACCTACTTACACYTAAACAAGATTTTTGAAAATTTCTAATTAGTGGATATATGTTTTAGGTACAGAACTATACTACCTACCAATAATATGAATATAATCATACCAATTCAATCATTTTTTTCTCGTAATGATATAAAATATGTACCCGTAATTTTTAGTTGATCGTATTTTTTATTATATTATACAGTTTAAAATATTTTTAAAATAAAATAAAACTATAAGAATCCAATAACATTGCTAAAATAATATTAAAAGTTTTTAATTCAAATCTAATTGAAAACTCTAAAAATTGAATTACSTATTACATAATTACCTTGATAATCGCCATAGGTAAACAATAAAAATATATAATTTTTATGAACTTATATCATAAATAAAGATACTAATTAGATTTAATTTAGTTTTCTGAATAAATTTTAGTAAACCATTGTTATGCACAATTTTAGGATACCTGTCTATTTAGAAATGAAATTGATAAAATTGTATGATTTAATAACTTAATTACCTTTAATTCATGAAAATTTTATGTAATTAAAATGAGTGATGATTATTTAATAATTCATAATATAATACACTTGCATATACTTCCATTTTATTTAATTTTATAAAARGCAGTAACAGGGACTTAGTAACCCAACTATTAATTGTATGACTATTTGTATGATGACATTCTTTGGATTTGGAAATAAATTGATATGTGTTTTATCGTGTTGTTTTTTTAATTAAAATATTACGTTAAATCTTAATATAGGTAATATTTAAATGGACCTACAGTTAAGACAATTATGTTAATACAAGCTAACCTTATCTATTACGTTTATTACTTGTTATTGTTAATAACTATTAAACGCAGAAATACTGACCTTTGTTATATGACTAGTAATTGTCATCGAAGGCCAAACATAACCGGCAAATCTCATCCACGCATACAAAKTGGGTGCTACGTAGAGTCCACCGTACATGCTAAACTTTGCCGCTCGTTGCAAATCAATGTTTTTGGTGGCTGACGGCTCTAGTGACTGTTGTATCAAGCTGCTCAACGGCCAGGTGACCGAGTATATGACCACACCGCGCACAAGTCCATGATTGCTGGCTTTAATTATTTTCGACCACATATTACCTAGAGACTCGTCACTAAACACCGCAAAATCAATTGAAATATCGTCAGTTAGCTTCAAATAATATTAGTTCTGGCTCAGCAAATATCTCTGCATACTCACGTCTTGCGAAAACCAAAAATAGATAGGTATAAGTATGTGAAATATTATAAATTCGTGTGTAGTGGAAAAACTTCAAAATTGACACTTGACGGTCATAAATAACGGTCTTCGCGGGTTACGCTGATCCGTACGGACCGTAAACAGTTGTATGTGTCAGAAAAATAAATCAATCGGCACTGGGCGCGATCGTAATTAAATAATAATTATAATTATTAATTATTAATCAACGCGCAACAGTACGATGACGRGGTGACCCGAAGAGATCGTCCACCAGCGAAAAATAGCGAATGGATCACGAACGGCGAATATAATATTAATGTATTATACACAGCGAATTGACGTTTTAGCAGTAATATTACAAACGGAAACTGGCGGCGGGCATTAGAGTGCGCGCCGGTGAATGCCAAATCGATAACCTATATTGTACCGGATCCGGACCCTACCGATGACGACGCGCCGCGCGAAACCCACAACTGCTGACTGGGCCGAGCGCTGAGCACTGTGGCGGTATGGTCTATGAGCAGTATGAGCATTGAGCAGTGACCGAGACTCCGAGTGTCGGATGAACGGCGGCCAACGGGCAATGGCCACTCGCCAGTCGCCACTGAACGCCCGCGGCTCGCAGGCCCCCGAACGACGTAACGGTCGTAGCCGGCCACCACTTAGTACTTRCTCGACGACACTCACACCCGACGACACCCGTGGGTGATGAAAACCCGGCGGGTGACGAGCCGCTATCACACGACCGTTATGATACGAACCGACGAACCGTTCGTGATGACGTGATTACAAACTGATTTCATTCGTTCCGACTCGGTCGTGAATATTGGCCCATGATATTTTTTATTTTTTTTAAATATCAATCACCTTATAAATAGTTATTACAAAATATTCTATAGACATTAAACAATTAGTTTGATCGTTGCAGGGCCGGATTAAGATTTTTTGCGCCCCGGGGCAAACCTACCTAAAATTAAGAACTACTTTTTAATAATACATAAACATAACATTGTTTTACTATAAT